CTAGAACCCCTTAATTTAACTTATTTTGTGGTGCTGAGGATCACGTCCTGGACTCTGTACATGCTAGGCAGGTACTGAGTCACACCCGCAGCCCTTTTGCATTGTACTTTTAGTTTGTTGTCTTTTTTGAGAAAGGATCTTACTGTGTAGTCCAGGCTGGCCTTGAACTCTTGGTGATCCTCCTGCCTCAGCCCCTTAAATGCTGGGATTACAGATGTTTGTCACCATGCCTGGTTATCTTTTTCATTTTAAAAGGAGAGTTTCTGGGTTCCTGAATTCTGCCTCAGGTTTTTCTTTAGCTTTGAGAAAAGATTTGGGGGTTCTTCAAATTCTGTTGCCCTTTATCCTAAAATCCCCCCTCCTAGTTCTGTGGCATCTGGGATTCAGTTTCCTTTCAAACCCAAATACCCCCTCCCACCCACCGAGTTCTGGGGAAGGTTCTGGAGTTCCTCTGATTGGAGCCAGGACAGTATTACTACATTGGGGTCTTCCATTGACATGAGTTCCCAAAGTTGGTATCTGGGGTCCAACCCCCTCACCTTCTGTCCGCAGGCAAGAAGAAGTCTCCATCATCCCCATCTCTGGGCAGCCTGCAGCAGCGTGAAGGGACCAAAGCGGAAGTTGGAGACCAAGTCCTTGTGGCTGGCCAGAAGCAGGGAATTGTGCGCTTTTATGGGAAGACAGACTTTGCTCCTGGTGAGGATGGGGACTCTGGGCTGATGGGCAGCCAGGGCTAGAGGCATCCTGACACCCTCTTCTGCAGGTTACTGGTATGGCATTGAGCTGGACCAGCCCACAGGCAAGCATGATGGCTCTGTCTTTGGTGTCCGATATTTTACCTGCCCCCCTCGGCATGGGGTCTTTGCACCAGCATCCCGCATTCAGAGGTGAGCTCAAACTCTGACCCCCCAACCCAGGGAGCCACCCAGAGCCCCGGTCCATCCTCAGTCTCCTCTTTTGACCAGCAAGACAGTGTGGTTACCCCTGCCCTACCTTAGTTCTTCTGTCTAGTCCCCCAGGGTTCAGCTCCCAACTAGACCTAGGCTCTTGTGGCTCTGACATTTCGTACTCCTGTTTCTCCTCAGGATTGGTGGATCCACTGATCCCCCTGGGGACAGTGTTGGAGCCAAAAAAGTGCATCAAGTGACAAGTGAGTTGGGGGCTGGGATGTGGGGAAGAGTATAGGTCTGAGGATGAGGTGAGAGGTCATGGGTTCTCAGGTATATGTTGCTGACAGTCTCTGATATTTAGCTGGGGACACAAGATCTAAGAAAATGATGAGGCAGGGGCCCAAAGAGGATAGGTGCTATATGACATGGGAAAGTTAAGATTTTTGAGAGTTTGCAGTGTAGCCCAGTGGCAGAGCATTTGCCTAGCATGTGTGAGAACTTGGATTCCATCTCCAGCACCACAGCAAAAAAAAAAAAAAAAAAAAAAAAAAAAAAAAAAAACTGGCTCTAAGAAAGACGAGAAGTGG